AAGGAATATTGGGCAGAAGGAACAACTGGACTATAGTATATACTATATACTTGCTTAGACTGCTCAATAAACGCCCCTGACACAGAACAAGGAAAATGCACAGGCTTTTCATATTTGATGAGTATGACTTGGAATCCAGAACTGTTTGCTGTCAGCTCTACAACACTATGAAACCTAACTGCAGACGTAACTAACAAATGAGATCTGTATGTGACTGCACTAATTCCTACGAAACTACAGGAGCATGTAAGACACTGTCACCATTACTGCTGTCCTAATTAAAAACAGACATTTTGGACTTAGCTCCTTGGCAGCAGGAAGAACAGAGACCCCACCCCGATTAAAATAAGTAAATAAATAAGTCTCTTCTCAGGCTTCTACAAACATTAACCTAAGTGCCTCCCTCTTGTGCTTTGTTCCCACCTCACTTCTTTCGAAGGCTAGGATGCTGAAATTGTCTTCTCTATGTGTAACTTGTGGGCTGGGGTTAGATGAAAATGGATTGGCTGTGTCTATGAAATTATGTGTCAAATATGAACAGTCTCAAGCAGAAAAGAGCAGATAACTAAAAAAAATTGATTTCCCATAAAAGACCTTTTTCATAGATAAAATGACCAAACTAGAATGATACTGGAGGGCGGGGGGAGGGGGGGGTGTGAACTAGCCCTTTAAGGAATGAGGGCTTAGAAAGCTTAGCTAGTATCTTAAAAAAAAAAAAGTTGGCTAGGCAGTGGCGATGCACACTTTTAGTCACAGCACTCAGAAAGCAGAGGCAGGCGGATCTCTGAGTTCGAGGGCAGCCTGGTCTACAGAGGGAGTTCCTGGACAGCCAGAGAGCTACACAGAGAGAAACACTGTCTCAAAAACCAAACCAAAACAAAACCAAAAATGTTTTATGTAGCACTGGAGTGGGGCTTGCCTGGAAAGCACTTAGTAGACCAGGCTGGCTTCAACTCAAAGAAATGGTCTACTTCTACCCCAAGTTCTGGGATTAAAGGTCTTCACCACTATGCCCACTTTTATTCTCTTCAACTTAAGCTACCAGTACATACTATAAAGAATCTAATGAATAAACTTCAAAATTATGAATTCTAAAATTACCCTCCCCTTTAAAATTACCTTCACCTAGTTTCTCTTCTGGTCCCAGCCACTTTGGGAGCCGCAGGCCATTCCAGGAACCACACACATCACACACAATCAATCCCCAAAACGGCACAAAAATGGCATCAAGAAACCCTGGTCACAAAGATAGGAATCTCTTAAGAGGGTGGGCCACCAGTACCTGAGGAGCATGAACTTTGTCTAGAAGCACAGAAGAAAGCCCTGAAGATGACGCAGGCACACAGTGCAGACAAGTCAAGTGCAGAGGCTGTCAGGGCCCTGGTGAAGCCCAAGATGCCAGCCGCAAACTCAGCCGTCCTGCTGTCACTGCTCACCCAAGTCTGGGAAGCAGAGTAGAAGCTACATGGCCAAGGGTCATAGACTTTATGAACCATAGCCCAAGGATCAAACCAAGGCAGAGGCCTCAGCACCAGCTCAGGCTCCCACAGGTGCCCAGGCCCCTGTGAAGTCCCATAGAAAAGGTTTCTGCCTGCCAACATGAAGACAGATGGACTGGTGTGACACACCTATGCACTATTTGCAGATGGTCAGAACCATATGCTGTTTTTACAAATAAAATTGAGGCAAGATCTGCTAAAAAAAAAAAAAAAAAAAAAAAAGACCTCCACCTTTGCCTCCTATTGTTATTCAAGTCCCCAGAGAAGCTATCCCATCTCTATGTATGTGAAGGGTGGTGCACATGAGCGCAGAGCCTACAGAAACCCGCAGAGGGTGCTGTCTCCTGTACCAGGATTTCAAGGAAAGATCATTCCCTTCCTCCATGATCCATGACTCTTGACTTTCCAATTCCTCCCCCTCCCCATTCTCTTCAATGCTTCGGGAGTACAAGGGAACCTGGGCTGCCAAGGTGCCTTGGGTAGGAAGGTTCTCACTCCAATAATAAACACAGACCTACCTCCATGGGGAACAGTAGGTAAAAAGAGGTCAAGTCATTAAAAAATACAGACATTTCTGGGTGTGGTGGTGCACACCTTTAATCCCAGCATGTGGGAGACACAGGCGAGCTGGTCTCTGAGTTCCAGGACAGTCAGAAGCTTCATGGTGAGACCGTGTCTCAAAAATAAAAAAAAATCCACAGAATCCCGAGAGATCAGTCAGCGCTGCTCTCATGGCAGTTCTCCAGTTAGCCAGGTCTACTGCTGGAGTCAGGGATCAGAGACAGCTTCAAGAGACTACTAAGGCACCTCTCATGAAAATCAACAGGCAGCCCCAAGAAAAGGCAAAAGATAGACTGGCTAGACAATTCCAACCACCTCCAACTCCAGAACCACAGACCAAGGAGAACTAAAGGGTTATTATATCCTTTAAGCCACTAAGTTTTAGACTGGCTTGTCATGAACTAAGATAATTAACAAAGCTACAAAGTTGAACAAAAAGAATTTACATTTTAGAAATAGAAACAATTGATTCAATTAAATATTTTGTTTTTGTTTTTTGAGTTTTTGGGTTTTGTTTGTTTGTTTTTGAGATAGAGTATGGCTACTGTGTAGCTCTGGCTGTCCTGGAACTCACTCTGTAGAGCAGTCTGGGCTTGAACTCACAGAGATCCACCTGCTTCTGCCTCCTTTTAAGTATTGGGATTAAAGATGTGTGCCACCATGCCTGGCTTCGATTAAGTCTTTTCCGAAATTCTTTTTTTTTTTTTTTGGAAGGGGGGGGAGGGTTCCAAGACAGGGTTTTTCTGTAGCTTTGGAGCCTGTCCTGGAACTAGCTCTGTAGACCAGGCTGGCCTCGATCTCACAGAGACCCACCTGCCTCTGCCTGGGATTAAAGGTGTGCACCACCTCTGCCCAGCTACCAGAATTCTTTTAACTGTAATGGATGTGAGTTCAAAACCAGCCTGGTCTATATAGCAAGTTCCAGGACAGCAAGGAATACATAGAAAGACCATGTCTCAATATAGCTCAGTGATGGGGGGCTTTGCCTGAGTCTCTAACAATAGCAGTACATGGCAGAACAGAACAAAACAATACAGAAAATAGACCTAAACAATAAAATATCTCATCTCCCAGAGAGTTGTAAATTAGATGATCTATGTATCCAAATATATAAAGAGCTATTTAAAAACATCAAAAGATAAAAACAGACATCTTACCACAGAATGTTTACACGTGGCTCAAAAGCACTAACCAGATGTGTAATGTCATTACTGACTAGACAAACACCAATCAGAATCACAGTACTGGTCACCAACGGCCGTAGTAACAGAGACAACAACTGTGGGGAGTGACAGAGCCTTAAGCTGTTGTGGGACTTACACGGTGGTGTCACATGGTGCAGCTACTGTGGAAAAGCTGAACAGTGCCTATGAGTCAGAAACTCAAACCCCAAGTATGTAGGGAGTTTTCATTTCCCCAAGAGAGATGAAATAAATCTACATAAAAACTAGTATGTGAGTATGTTAAAATAATGCTATTAATCAGGATAGCCCCCCAAAAATGAGAACCCAAATGAAGACTAACTGATACAATAATATACAGAAAATGATGGAATATAATTAATTCAACAGAGAAAGAAATCAGGGACAGTCACGCTGGCACATGCCTTTAATTCCAGCACTCAGAAGACAGAAGCAGGACATCTCTCTTGAGGCCAGCCTAGTCTACACCATGGAATTTTGTCTTGAACTTGCAAAAACCATTGTGATCATGTTTCTAAAGCTGAAATGGAAAACCCACAGCAATATGTAGGTGAGTGGCTGCTATGGCGAGGGAAGGGGACATGACTGCTAATAGGTACCAAGCTTCTGTAAAATATTCTAACATTACATTGCAATAACTTCACATGACTCAGGCTGAATTATATACCTCAAATGGACAAATTTCACAGTTCCTTAGTGCAATCTCAATAACGTTTTTAAAAGAAAAACAAAATGTCTATCATGCACCCACAGAGCAATCCCTTAGCTTGAAACCTGTTCTTCCTTCCATACACACGTGAACAAGAACACACTTCCATCTCTGCTTCAATTTCACTTCATTTCCATCATTTTGCATGATTTAAAAAAAAATGGATTAGTTACTTTATTTATTTGAAGACGGTCTCACTTGTAGCCCTGGCTAGAACTAACTTGATATATAGACCAGGCTGGCCTCAAATCCACCTGCCTTTGCCTCCTAAGTGCTAAGATTATTAAAGCCATGCACCACCATACCTTGCTTTAAATTAAAACTGTGTGGGGGTGGGGTGGGAATGGGAGTAGGTAATATACACGAGACTGCAGGTGCCTGTGGAGGCCAATCCCATGGAGCGGGACTTCTAGGCTGCTGTGAACCATCCAACAGGGTACTAGAAACTGAACTTGAGTCCTCTTCAAGAACAGTATGGTCTCATAATGGCTGAGCCATCTTTCTTGTTTCACTTCTAATCTTCACTCCTGGGAACTAACACACTAGGAAAAGGACACCTTAAGACCACAGTGCTGCACCAGCCTGGAAATTTTTCCAGTTCCACCTGGGAAGTTTTAATCTCAACTTTACCAAACATTGCCCACCCCTCTGAACAGAGGAACCAAAGAGAAAGGGATGAAATGGATCCTTGGGCATCAGGGATGTGTAGGCTCTGGGAACACAAAGCCAGCCTCTCCTTCCATAGGAGCAGTGGGATCCAAGGAACTCTCTGTAAGCACTACAGAGCCCACTACATACAAATTACAGGGTCAGTAATGAGGCCAGGGTCAGAGGCAGGGCCTGTAGCCTCAGTGCCCATCCAGGAGTCTTGCCTATTCCATGAACATGGGAGGTTCTGGAGCATCAGCTGTATCCGAGATCAGCAAGCAAGCACTCCCCTCTACAGGATCTGCACAGAGGGGTCTCAGTGTCAGCAACACTCCCCTCCTGGAACTGCTCTGCTGGGGACTTTGGCCAGCAGGGTCTTACCCGGGTCTTGGCCTTCAGGAACACATGACTCTCCATATCCTTGCTAGATTTACTGTGGGCCACACCAGCTTTCCTCATGGCATCCTCACTGAAATACAAAAGAAGAGATGTTTACATACACTAGCAGGTCTTCCTGCTAGACAGCTGCTGTCCCGGGGAAGCCAACCTGGCTGAATCCTGAGAGGAATGAAGGGAGAGGCACTCGGCAGAGCAGTGGCCAAAGTTAACAAGAGTAAGGGCAGGGCCAGGAGATGAGGGAGCAGGAAGGTGACACCATAAAGAAGAGAAGTCCCTGCGCATGAAGGACAAAGGGACTGTCCCAGAGATTGCTCACATCAGCACTGAGACCACTGTTAATTCAGTTACTGGGTGGCCAACCGGCCCCTATTTCTAGGCCGGAGTGACATCTGAGTAGAGTGGGACTGCAGCTCCAGATTCCTCCCCTGCAGAATGAAGAGTCCACAGCCACTGTCCATTCCCCCAAAGGCAAGAATCTGTGTGCAGCAATTCATGTTTGCCTACTAGAGCCAAAGAGAACAGCTCCAACTGCTAACGACTAAGAATGACACAAGACAGTTCACACTAATATAAAACAGCAACAAAACATCTAGAATAATTTCATACACAGATATAAAAGGATATCCTAGTAAAGGTTCTACTTCACACTGTGGACCAAACAGCTCTGAGAGTGCACACGACCACCCTCTACCTGAACACACATAGAAAGAACAAGTAGGGGATGGAGAGGTGGCTCAGTGGTTAAGAGTACTGGCTGCTCTTTCAGAGGCCCTGAGTGTGATTCTCAACACCCACATGTGCCTCACAATCACCTGTAACTCCAGTTCCCAGAAATATACCTTCTCTGACCTCTGAGGGAACTGCGTGCATATGTATACACTCATCCAAGCAAAACATTCACACACATAAAAGAAAATACATTATCTTTTAAAAAGAAAGAGCAGGCATGTATCTGTTAGAAAGAAGACTATTAACTTGCGGCCCTGAGGCCTGGAGCCTGGTTACTCTGCTCTTCTCGCAGTCTGTCTTGTCTTTGCAGCACTGGACTTGTGGGTAAACAAATCAGTAAGTTGGGGGCTCTGAGCTTTAACTCAGCCCAGTTGGTACTCAAAAGCATTCTGACCTCCAAAACACAACCCAACTGAGTCTACTTACTGAAGAACAAGTGTGTGGACTACAGCATCGTACCTTTGAAATCATGGAGAGAGCACGGGTAGGAGTATCAATGATGAGACATACCAAACATATCATGGGACGAGTGAGAAGCTCAGCAGGTAAAGCAATTGCTGCACAAACCTGATAACCTGAGTTTGATCCCCAGAACCTATAAAAGGTGGAAAGAAAGAACTGGCACCATAAACTTATCCTCTGACCCCTCACATGCATGTCATAGCACACGCATACCCTCTCTATCCCCAATAATTAATAAATTCAATTAAATGTACAACATTACATTGCTACATCCTTCATTAGCAGGCATATCTGAAGTTCTGACCTCCCCTATCTACTTCTGAAGGTCTGACTCTGACAAGATGGCAGCAGCAGGTGCCTGCTTGCAAGGCATCCGGGTGTAGAACAGCTGTGTGAAGAGAAAGGTCCCTGGAGCCACAAGAGACATGGGAGTAACAAAGTAGAATGGTACCAAGAACCAGTCCCAGGACGTGTAGGGACAGACACATGCAGGAATAGGGCCATTCTGAGGCTGCAAGGCTTCCACACTGGAAAGGAAAACATCACCTGATAGGTGATAAAATCACTGAGATGAAACAGACCTATGTTCAGAAGCATGCATAGAACCTAAATAAACTATAGGCTCACCTGCCCAAGAACAGGTTAACCTCCTGGGATTCTCGGAGTTGCAGTTCTTGAAAAATAATGACAGCTTCATGGGAAGGTACGGCGGCCTATAGGTTTCGGCCACAGAAGCCCCAACAACACAAGTCTTGGGGCCACTGAGCTGGAAGTTCCAGGGAGTATTCCTGAACAATTTCCACCTGGGTTGGTACTTAATACTTTAATAAAAGCTTGCTTTTGACCCCAATAGTGGAACTGGTTTTTCTCTGGAGAATCTCAGGATTAACACGTGCCTCACCCGTGTCCCTAGAGTCCTATCTATTCCCCTTTCCACCTTCTGGCAAGGATAGAAAAAGGACTGAGAGGTAAACAGCCACAGAAACTTAATAAAAATTTAGAGGTGCATGCCGGGCGGTGGTGGCGCACGCCTTTAATCCCAGCACTCGGGAGGCAGAGGTAGGCGGATCTCTGTGTAACAAAACCACAGAGAAACCCCGTCTCGGGAAAAAAAAAAAAAATTTAGAGGTGCAGAACACTCTCCCAATACCAGGTCCTAAGCGAGACCAGCAAGTCACAAACTTGTGGATGAGCACACAGGATGAGGGGAGCAGCATAGGAATCTGAGGGTGCAAGTCAAACATGGGCTCTGTGTCAGAAGCAGCTGTCACCTTAGGTCAAGCCAGACTCCTAAGAGAGCACTCCCAAGCAGCTACCAGTTACTTTCACAGAACTAGTCGACAAGTACAGCCTTAGCTTCCTGCAGAGGACAGACAGATCCAGGCATGGCCGACTGTGACAGCTTTGACAAAGAGATGTGCTTGGTGAGTGGCTGGCAGTGTACCAGTGACATGGGATGAACGTGCCTTTCCAGTGAGAAACTACTGAGGACTCGAAGGCTAGGAGAGGAAAAAGAAAAGGCTCTTTAGTAATGGCACATGACTGGTTGTGGCTACCACACAAAAGCGAACAGAAAACTTTACCTGCTGCTTATATAGGCCTTGGCTTACACATTCCACACACGCTGTCATCCTTAAACCTCCCTCAGGTCCCAGGTTACACTTTGAACAATTTAAACAGAGAGGAGACTATAAGTCTGGCCACTTGGGCAGATGGGGGAGTTTCACTGCAGAAGACACTGCCAGCATTCTTTCTTAAGTACATCAGTGTTTTTCTTCTCATAGTGTTTACCAAGGGTCAAAATTCTATCAGGAAACCTGGAAAAAGTACGCCTCTCCTGAAAAGAGTATAAGGAACTTAAAGGCAGATCAGGACTTAAAAGTGGTTGAGACCCTCTGCTCCCCCTTGAGCTGCCCTTTAAAGGCCCGTTCCTTTGTTGTAGGGATGGGCTAAAGGCCTGTTGTAAATCAGGGTTGTCTCCTTTTGTTTGGGAATAGAACCTAATCAGATCAATCTTGGTGAACAAACACTACCAGAAACTTTCCAGCAGCCCTAACTTCAGTTAAGGCAACGTTTTTTCTTTCCTACAGTTCCTAACAAGCCTGGTCAGATCAGGGTACTTAGCTTCCGGATTATTGGAGGCGGTGCTCCATATCATCAATTTCTTCTGCATCACCAGAGGCCAGGGGGACACTGCTGAGGGTGAGCTCTCGTCTCCCAGCAGAGTAATGTCACACATACAGACGGGTGTGGAATCAACTGTTAGAGACCCCGAGTTCAAGGAGCATCAACCCACTAGAGATAATGAAAGATAATTCTATTCTGACAAACTTGAATATACTTTGGGGGGGGAGTGTGTGACACACACCACAGCAACACACACGACAACACACACAAGGACACCACATAGACAGGATACAACCTCAACTGGAAGAAGCCAGATCTGCTGTAAGCTGTACAGAACAATACCATGCTCTGCCAATCTCACATCCCATTCACGGTGCCTGCAGTCTCTTCATATTTAGTAAAGCCAGACACAAACCATATTTTGAAATGTTTTTGCTTATTTTTAGTGAAGTAGAGTGGAAAGCAGCCAAGCACTCAGCCTTCCTCTGTGCTGCACTTTGTCCCTGACACACCTTACTCCTGCAAGTCTTTGGTGTGGCCTCATTTGGACTCTTCCTAAGGAAAAGTTCAGGTCCTCCTTTACAGTAAGACCACAGACATTGTCAGAGGCTGTGATCAGGTCTAGGCCACCCTGGAATAAACCTGGCTGCTATCCAGCTCCTTCTGATCACCCTGAATGAGGCTTTGCCATCTCTCCACCCCACCCACCGAATGTGTTCCAAGCACTTTGACACATAGAGCATCCTGTCTCCTTTGGAGCCAGGCACTAGTGCCTTTCTTGTTGCCAATCTAGCCATAGTTGCCTGGGTGTCTGGTTTAAAATGGAGCATCCTGGGGACTGATTAATCATTACAGGCCTAGATCTCCCCCTTCACAAGAGAGACTGGAAGGTACACTGACTTCCACAGCTGCCCTTGAAGCATGGTATATGTGAAAGGCACTGTCTGGCACTGCCTAAGCAGCAATGAGTGAAACATTAAGAAACCCTGCTGGGACTAGGCATCATAGCACAAGCCTTTAATCCAGTGGTTCTCAACCTGTGGGTCATGATCCCTTCAGGGGTCGAATGACCCTTTTCACATGGGTCAGCTAAGACCACCCTGTATGTCATAGATTTACATTATGATTCCTAACAATAGCAGAATCAGTTATGAAGTAGCAACGAAAATACTTTTGTGGTTGGGGTTCACCACAACATGAGGAATTGTATTAAAGGGTTGCAGCATTAGAAAGGTTGAGAACCACTGCTTTAAACCCAGCACTTGGGAGGCAGTGACAGATGGATCTGAAGCCAACCAGGTCTATATAGTTCCCCGACAGCCAGAGTTACACAGTGAGACTCTGTCCAAAAAAAAAAGAAAAAGAAAAAGAAAAAGGGCAGAGACCCTAACTGTGCAGAGATGGCTCCGTCTATTAAAGATAGTCCAACACACAGTAACATCACTGTCTTCCCAGGTGAGGTGTCAGTGAGCCCCCACAGTTCCTTCAGACAAAGCCACCTCATTTGGACTGACTTATCTTGGGTATCTTTAACAGAGACGCTCTACCAGCCAGTACAAAAGTTGTCTAACAAGCACAGACCAGTCACTCCTACTTTTCTTCATTGAATCCTCCCAACCCTTTTCCAAGCCCTGTTCTTCGGGCCCAGGCTATCTATCTATCAATCACCCAAGGACCCGCTCAGCTCTGTTAGGACTCTTTGACCCACTCTCTTCATCACTGACCACCCTAGGCAATGCCCGCTCCTTCTTT